CAGGAAGAAGAGAAAAAAAGCTACAGTGACAGCATCCTCATAGTTTGACAAGGTCTTTTTGTATGCCAAACACGTGCCACAAAATACTGCCTTATGATAGTTGCAATCTAAAGAATTTTGCCCTTTTGGATAGTCACAACATGGAACAGATGATCCAAATAAATACTAGACAACTGAGTAATGAAAAGAATAAGAAATCAGTAGGTAGGAAAAGAGACTAAATTTGATTTTATCATCTTCATCGCTCCCTGACTCTCCACCTGGCAAACCTTTCCACTTTGGTGGCTACATGGCCACATTACAAATGCAACTGTCCTTTCTCTGACAATGCTGTGAGGTGCCCCACATATTTTCCCAGAATCAGCGTGCCATAACAAGATCATTCAATAGACAATGCTCTCTGTGAAGTGTTCTTTTACCAAGATTACTCCATTTGACACTGCTGGCTACTCACTCAGAGCTCTGGCTTATGTTCAAGACACATGCTTCCTAAAAGGGACTCAGGTAAGTCCTATGTGGCTCAAAACGATCATGGTAGTCTGATTTGCCCTACTGGTGTCAATGAGATATAATGGGAAGTGTAGAGAATTTCTGGAGAAAAAAAGCATTAACTATAACTCTTAAAAAAAGAATATAAGACAATAAATAAATAATAAATAAAGGCTTCATCTGTCTCTCAATACTACAACGTGCGCAAATCCATTGGACCAGAACGCTACTGACCCTGAGAGGGACATGGCAGCACAAAGGGGCGGCCTGTAAGCCAACACTGGGAATAACCTGGGTGCTTCAGGAGTAGGAAATGAACCCATCTATGGGACTTACTCTGTATACCAAGACAATCTATTCTCTAATTTTTTAAGCCATTTTTGAACCCCAAATATCGTCAATGACATGCTGCCTCTTTGGAGAAGCAGGACAGGGCTCCGAGTCTCTACCAAAATTCTACTTTTTTAAAAAAAATTTTTTTAATTAATTTATTTATTTATTTTTTATAATTTTTTTTATTAGTGAAACACCCAAAATTCTAGCCACAGAGGACAGCTGCCTCATAAAAAAGAAAAAAAAAGCTAAGATTTATTTCCCAGTAAGTGTTCAGGGGAAAAACAGCTGTAAAAAGGTATTTTGAATAGCCATTCCTGATGTATAGAGAGTCTTTTGAACTCCTACATGATATAAACACTGTAATAAAATTCTGATGAGCCACTATGAATGGTATGTGTGGGGATATACAGCATGACTGGAGTCGTCATAATATGTAAACATTAGGGCGCTAACATGAAATTAGTCTTTTTTACTCATCGACTCATTTCTTTCTACAATTCTAAGATCAGGAACATTTTTCTTATTTCACTCTCCTTTTACCTGAAGAAAATGCAGACTTCCCTGATAGGAAGGAATTTGAAAAACCAAGTGTTAGCGTGAATGATTTCCACAAGGTCCCACAGTGAGCTAGGCACAATTTTCTTTATTACTAAAAATGTTTTATGTATGACTTGATTACAAACTCATTTGCTGAACATGCAAGTGAATGGGAAATTGAACTGTAAAGGCATAATAAACGAAAACCAATCTTTACCCTTTCTGTTTTTGGAATTTAGTTGTGAAACAAACAAATTCCTTTTTGAACTGATTTCTGCTTCTTACTATTTCTATAATCTTCCTAAACCTCAATCCATTCTTCTCAAAATCATTGCTCTATGTCAATGTCTCCTACAAAATCCCTGTATATAGCCCATTGTCTGTTCAGTGTTTCTCAAAAGATGATTTGCATGATGATTACCTAGGAGATTTAGTAGACCCATGGTGGGGCCCAGCAATGTTAATATAAACAAGCACCCCAGTTGCCTCAAAGGGACATGTCTTCAAGGGACATGACTCCAGACTGTATACTAGATTTTAGGATCGGAATAGAAAACATCTAATTATCATAGTAGATTTACGCTGGAACAAAAAAAAATATGTGCATCGTTGCCTGTAATTTTTATGTTCCCTCTGAGGTCTGAAAGCAACCCCAGGAGCTCTGTGATTTGGATGCACCCTGGTAATCATTTGCTTTAGAGGTTAGGAGTTTTAAATCCCTTGCCCCCTCTGAAGCTACCCTGACAAACACACCAAATGCATTTCTATTTGTGATTGAATTTAAAAAAAAATGCCTTAACTCTTCCTCCACAGTGAAAGGAAATCAATTTTGGAAAGTGTTTCCAAAGAGTAATTTTAAAATACACAATACAAAATGCCTTCCCTCTGAATCAAATGTCTGAGATGCATAGGGCAAGCAAAGTAGGTAATGAGAGAAGTAAACACCAGCAAAACCAGCCCTGAAACCAAAACTTAGGAAGGAAGCTGACCATTAAGTGGACCAGAGGAACAATAGCTCAGGCTATCCTAGAGTAATTCTGAACCTAAGAAAACTGGAATGAAAGACAAACCTCTTGTACCAAGTTAACTTCCTCTTACAACTTGATTTAAAACAGAACAATACTGTAAAGGAGAACCTAACAGTATAAGTGGAATCTTAGAATTTCTCTTATTGCCAAAAACTTTTACAACCCTAAATAATCCTTACTGGATTCAGCAGAGCACACTTGTAAACCATATAAGATATCTTAAACCTGGAGGCTCCATAAACCAAAAACAGCATGCTGAAAACCTAAATATGTATGTCCAATGCTAACATCAGTTCAGACCGACTTGCATCACAGGCTGAAAATCTTCCTACATAAGGATTTCTGCACAATTATATGAACGAAAAGGGGGAGAAAAAGCCAGGGAGATAGCTCAAAAGGCTAGTGCACATGCTTTGCATGGGGGAGACCTAGTTTTAATCCCTGAACACCTCCAGGGAGTAGCCGTGACACCAAAGAATAATAATGATGTGATGATGACAATGCTAATAAACAAACGTCATAAAAAATTCTCTGTCAATTTTTAAAGACAAGATACCACGTTCCAGAAATCCTTGACATAACCCCCACAACAAAACTGTTTTAAATGTTTTGAGAGTACAGAGACAGGAGGAAGCTCTGAGCACTGTGGGGTGTGGCAACCATATACTGTAGCACTGTCTGTCGCACTGTCCTCCCACTGTTCATCGATTTGCTTGAGCAGGCACCAGTAAGTCTCCATTGTGAGACTGGTCACTGTTTTTGGTATATCGAATACGCCACGGGGAACTTGCCAGGCTGCCGTGTGGGCGGGATACTCTCAGTAGCTTGCCAGGCTCTCTGAGACGGACAGAGAAATCGAATCCGGGTCAACTGCATGCAAACACCCTACCCTCTGTGCCAACGTCCTACTCACTCCAGCCCAGCAACCATACAAACTAGCTTAAATTCATTAGAAGGCAAAAAGTCAAGATCACGGCTGAAATGTGAAAATTACAGTTGTAGCAGTCTCTGCATCAGGGCAAGTTCAAAGATAGACTGAACATAAAGGGGCTGGGAGAGGTGTGAGCACAACACAAGGATGAAAACGAGCCATCGATGAGGAATTGCTCAACTGATCAGGTTTGAATAAACTTGACTGTTCAAGCTCCAATCTGAGGTTTTAAGAAAGAATTTTTTTTCTTGAAATATTCTCAATAAACCTTGGGGGCAAGTTAAAACCGAAAATTCAATCCAGGTTCTGCTGATCACCACTTACTCTTGGTTTCTTTAAGGCCAATTAAGGTCTCATTACAATCATACAGCTATCTTTCAGCTGGTTCCGAAACCTTTTCCTGCAACTGCTCTCAGCAGCTTGAAGGTCTCCATAAGACCCACAGCAATAACGCAGCCAAGCTTGGTGGCAGTGTGTATACCTAGATATTACTCTGTCTTGCTGGAAACCTTGAAGTGTGTAAAGTTTTACCACCATGTTTTCTGTTTAAGAAATGTCTGACTCTAGGTTGTGTGAAAGAAGCACTAAACCATCTTCTCAAAGTATCTAGAGTTAATTTTAAGACCCAGTTACCATTATTTTAAACATACTTCATCATCATCCTCTGACATTTGAAGGTATTCTTCCCTGTCAACTTGCACATTTTCTACTACGGCATGGCAAGGAAAAGAAAAATGACCAATCACAGAGCAGTCCTCAATTCTGCCAAATGCTTATCACTAACAAGAAAAACCTTGATTCTGTATAATTAGATCTGTAGAATATTTATGATAAAATATTTAAATATATACACTCTCTCTGAAAGGTTATATCTAATACTTAGAATGAACACAAAAACAAAACATCATAAATTCCCTCAGCAGAATATCAATTTATTCCAATCACTTAATGGCATGAAAACTGCGTGGGTAAAGGTCCAAGTATTATGTTCACTCAGTCAAATTGAGAGCTTAATGATTTAGATGAACTGTTACACTCTGTCTTTTTTGACATAACCACACCCAGTGGTGCTTGGAAACCAATGGAGTGCTGGAAATTGAACCTAGGGGTCTCACGTGCAAAACACACACTCCAATTCTTTGAGTCATCTCCCCAGCCTATTACACTGTCTTTTCTTGGGCTTCAGCCTCTGATCAAAAGCATTTTTCAAAGTCAGCGTTAGACTAAAATATGCACACATTAGACTAAAATATGTTGTGACTCAGGAAAACCCAGTATTGGAAATGTGAGTAGTTTACTAAGAACAGAATCAACTCTAGAATCCAAGCCTCTCAATTCTAAATCCAAGATCTATAAACCACAACATCATCTGGTGTACCCTTGACCACTGTAACAACATAAGACCCCTGAAAACTCTGCTTAGTCGCCCAGTCCCACGGACAGCACTCTCCTGGTTGCCTGAGAAATACTGCTGGGGCACTCCCCCTATATCTTCTGTGAAGACAATCTGGCACTCGCTGCTAATGGGCATCTAACATTTCACATATTTCTTTCTATGGTTTCCAACATACCTGATGCAACAGTGGAAGGAAAAAAGGCAAAAACTGAGACCAGCTTTACTATTACGATAAGAGCTTTTCAGGGGTGAGATTAGGGTCAGTAATCAGTCTGAGACATACTTTGCCAAGTGGTTCATGAGCAGCTGTAACATATGCCTGTTTTTCTCTGGGAGCCGATGAACAAGACTGTGGATTTCAGAGACCCGAGATTCTTGGTTCTCCAGTTCTGCAAAAGAAGGAGAGTAATACTTGATCAGCGTCACGCAGATAAATGAACTGACAAAACAGAAATCAAAGAAAATAAAAGGTTGCACACTAACAGATTTCAACAAGGTTTAAGATTCTGTTTTGCAGACTAGTGATGAGTGTGGTTATATCTCAAAGTTCCTTGAATGGTGTTTGCTGTATCAAGAATTAATCCCAAAACTGGCCATTAAAATAAATAAATAAATAAATAAATAAATAAAACCTCAAGCCAAAATGATGACATGAGGAAACAAAGCCAGTAAACTGCACACTCAAAGCCAGGAGCAGCGAGCTCCCTAGAGTGATGGCTTCATTTCAAGGAAGAAACTTAATGCCTCTGTCAAGTGATAAACAAATTGTACGGGAACAATATCACAAGGGCCTCAAATACCAAACTTACAACTCAAGATGGTTGCAAAAAATATCAAAAGTAATGACCAGTTATTCTCAAATCATATATGACAACCAATCTTATAGAAGGAAGTAAATCTTTCGGTCAGCCTGGTAAACTAAATCATAGCCTGTCATATTTTCTTGGACAAACGTGGGTGACTGGCTTCATGTGCCAGGGAAACACTTAGAGAACTGAGGTGTGCTTTAGAGAATGGCCAGAGAGGTTTTGGAATTTCCCTGAGAAAGAAATCACCAACACCCACAGTCTTCTCCCATTTTTCTCCCTGTTTTAAGGGGCCAACTAAAAGTAAATATGGACGGCAGCATTATGCATTGCTAAATTAGGTCAGCTGTAGCCACCAGGCTAAACAAACTCTGAAGGGTTAACAGAAGCAAGGAGAGAGACACACAGGCTCTTGACATTATTGCACTGTGGTGATTCATGCCAGATTTAAATCTGTTAGAGAATTTACTACCCCCTAACAGGGGCCTGCCCCATGCAGACAGATTCTAGCATAATTGGGGTAGCTCAAACCTAATCCCTCTGTATTTTAAAACCAGTAATAGAACACCAGAGACCTAGATGACATTGCTAAAGAATGATCAGAAGCTGCAAATGGAAGCCATGATGAAGAGAACTGGGAAGTTATATAAATGGTGTCGTATTCAGGGAAACACTTCCAACACTCAATTTAGGTAATGTGCAATGTCTGATTCATTCTGCAAAATGCTACTCAAGGACTGGAAAGAAACTCAAGGAGTTAAGAATTCCAATCATCAAAATTAGAACGGAAACTTGCTTTTCTCTCCTCCCTAGCTCTTAAAACACTTTTGAAGTTTCTCTCCTCTACTGTAAATTCAACCTGGTAGCAAGGCCCTCAGACATCCTGATTTGGTTTCACTTTTATACTGTGTCAGTCTCACGAGTGCAAATGTGGGCAGTTTACATGCCAAATGAGAGGAGTTAGATAATATTTATTTTGGGATACTGACTGTTCTTTGAAATAGAAAGATCTATTCCCTTCCCCTTAAAACTGTGACAAAAAGAAAACTTACTTGCTGCTTTGATGAAACTCCTTTGAAACTGGTACATCATGAGTGGTCCTGGAAGCATTCTGGAATAAAAAGATATACAGTCGTCAGCTCAATACAAACATAATCATCTTCTCTCTAAATAGCAGCCTAGAGACTGCCAAACGATGACATTTCCCACAGACCAAGATTTCAGAGAAACAGCAACTCAACTCAGTTGCCCTATGGAAAAAAAAATCCTAAGAAATTCACCTGAAATTTTTTTCATTTCTCAAATTAAAGAAAATAGATACAGCTGTTTCAGAGTCACAACTAGAAAAATGCTAATGCTACAGTCTAGCATAAACCAAGAAGTTTCCTTTTAAGTCAGTGACTCACCTATCAACAAGAGCATCTAGCAAAACAGGCAACAAACTCAAAACCTTTGCAATTACCTGTGCTTAACCTCTTGTCTTTCCAGCCATTTAGACAGCTATTAAAATGTCTTCCCTTTCTATTAAAATCACTTCATCCAGAAAAACTATGAAAAAACTTTTTTAAGTGTTCTGGATAATGAATTCATTAAGGAGTGTTACCCAGGAATGTCAAAAAGTGAGAATCTGCCTCAATAGGGCTGACACAATAAAAACCTATCTATAGTCTGAAAAGAAAAAAATACAGTGACATTTACTCTTAAAGCTAATCAGTATCAGCATGTGAAAATAAGCAATCAATAGAAGCTTCTACAATATAGTCTTGTATAAAATACAGCCAGTCTCTGGAATAAGCGTTTGTTGTACAAGTTTAATTGCAAACGACTCCTTTTCTGGTAGTCTAAATGACATGCTTCTCACAAACTCTACATCATTGATGGTGTAGACTTTGTTTCTCATCAGATGCCCTGTTTCAATTCTTAGCAATCATTCGCACTATATATTGCACTCGACTGCAAGACACTTCCATCATTTCCCTAAGAGTCAATAAAACCTGCATCACCAATTCCTCTTTTGTGGCTTTGCTACTTTGCTTTTGGGCCAAATGAATCTTCACAAAACCTGCACACATGCTTATGCAATTCATAATTACAGTTATCCTGTTTAAGACTACACCCTGCCTTTCTGTGTAAGAAGAACTACAACATTTATACCCTTCAAGGGCAGCAAAAAATTTCTGGCTACTGATGAAACTAAGATGTGGGCAGTGAGTCGGCTCTCCCCTCCTTTGTTATTAGTGCTCTCTTTCCTCCCCTCCCTTTGTTATTAAAGGAGGAGAAGAGAGATGCATGTATTACAACAAGGAAAACTTTTCTTTCTGGGCTGAAAAAGAGAAAAATTCCAATAAAGTCTTATTTTTATTGACCAATGTCAATGAAATATATATATAACATATTCTATCAATACCACACACAAGAATACAGGCATCAAAACATGGGAGCTAATCATACATTCCCAGCAACAGGGACAAACGACTTCTTATTTTCTTAATAGATTGCCAACAGATTTTAGTGAATACCATGTTTAAGGTTCTGTTAAAGGCTAATTATCACAGTAGCATCTCATAAGAGCAGTTTCCTAAATCCCTCCCGGCACCACTGCACAATGGCAACCCATTATGAGTATGGATGCCTTAGAATTAGTTTGACCAGCTAGCTAATTGCACCCACACATGAGCTGTTTCCACATCTCAAACACCCACCCAACAGCTCTCTGAAAGCTGAAAATAAAACTGCTTTCTTCCTGATGGCATGATAACAAGCTGGCAACCTGCCCTGCAAATGGAAAGTCCCAACCTTAGGTAGGTCTTCAAAGCACTGGTGATGGTCTTTATCTCCCATTCTGCACAGATATCCGTTTCTGTTTCAGAAGCTGTTTTGGGGTCTAAAACAAAGAAGTAGAAAAAGAAAACTTAAAAAAAACATGCAGATTGCTAAGTCAGAAAAAAAAAAGACAAAACCAAATAGAACCCAATGTTAAATTTTAAAAAATGCTGGGGTTGGAGCAATAGTACATCAGGTATGGCATTTGCCTTGCAGGCAGCAGACCCAGGTTCGATTCCTGGAATCCCATATAGACCCCTGAATAATCCCTGAATACAAAGCTAGGAGCTACCTCTGAGCAACACTGGGTGTGGCCCCCCCAAACAAAATAAACAAACAAAAATTTTTTTAAAGAAAAGTAAAATGCTTAAAAATTCCAATATTTATTGCTGGAAAAACTGTAGTAAAACTGATCTTCCCATAAATTGTTGAAGGCAGCAGAGATTAATGCATCTTTTTAAAAACAGTATGTATCTAGAGTTATAAAAAATTAAACCCTTTATTTCATTGTTATTTTGGGGAGTGGGTATCCTTGGCAGTGCTTGAGGATCATTCCAGTTGTACTCCTGAGACATGTGCTGGGGATTGAACCTGGATCTCCTGTAAGCAAAATATGCACACCAGTCCTTTGGGCTATCTCCTAGCCCAATATGTTTATAATGTTTCAACCAGTAATATCATGTCTTACTGTTTATTCTCAGGAAATAAGACACGACAAAAGTTCTATACTCCAAAAATAGCCATCATTTTTCTTTAATAACAGTAGAGGGTACAGGCAGCTTTAAGAAGACAAATTACAGGTGTGGATCATGTGAGGCCCCAAATCCTATTCCTGGGACATCCTTACCCCCAGCACTAGGTATACCCCTTATGTATACCCTTAAGGTGGGTCCAAGCACCGTACCACCTGTGAGTGACTGCAGAGCACTGCTGGGCAGGCCTCCCAGCCAATAATACAACACCAAACCAAACCAAACCAAGCTAGTTAGCTATCTAACAACAAAGGAATTAAAAGTTAATTATGGCATGTCTACCTGCGAGAATAATATGTTACATTACCTGATAAATATAGCTATAGAGAAATATGAAAAGTAATTGAATTGTGATGCAATGTCAAGGGAAAATTTAAATTTAAAGTGTGTGAGAAAGTCATATGAACCAAAGGAAAGGAAATAAACCAAAATTTAATGGTGGTTGGGTTAGAGTGACTGGATGATTTTTTTTTTTAAATAGTTTCTAGATTATGACTTCTTGTTACTTTTATATTTGTTTTAAATTGCCTTAAGTCAAGAACTACTGTGCAAGTCACCATAATTATATCAGCGTTGGACATTTCTTTCTCTATTTTTTGTATACTTTGTCATGAACATTCTTAATCTTAGATTTTTATTGAAGTAACATTTGTTTCTACGGTTTGGGGGATACAGCATTATAAATCAACATCTAAACATATAATATGATTAACACCAAAAGTCTCTCCCAGTCTTGTTTTCCTCCATCACCATACAATTGACCCTCTTTATCTTACTACCCAATCTCTCCTTTCTCTTTCCATCTGTCAACCATTATTTTGCTCTTATAGTCTACAAAGTTCATTTCTATTTTGTTTTATCTTCTATAAGGATTTTGATAAGTGTTTTAAATTATGAACAAATTACCACAGTGCTCCTGAACAGCACACAAAGGCAAAAATAAGAGGCAGAGGTTGAGGAATATAAATTACTGCACCAGTCAGCAGATCCCCATTTTATTGCTGCTCGGGTGTGTTCCAACACACCTAGAGAAGAACTCAGCTTCCTCCCGCAGAAGACTAGATTTAGCCTCAAAAGCTCCCACAACCTTCCTTCTGAAAAATGCCTCAAAAGTGATGCTAACTTTTCTCATGTTTCTTCCACATACTCAGGTAAGGAATGAGACTCGGGTCAGAATGCTCACATAGCTCATAGAACACATTTTTCTGATAGATGATTCCCAGCTGGTCCAAGACGTAAGCAAGTCCAAGGAGACTGAACCTTAGGACTGTTCCAGGAGACGGGGAGGATCCTGCGATTTCCTGCCAGGCTTGCTCGCATTTGAGAGATTATGCAACTGCATTGCTTGCCAGCAGGTAGAGACTGAAAGTTGAGTCTCATGGATAAGGATAGAGAAGAGTAGGAGCGAGTCTCTTTATCATTTTTCTATTTTCTGGAACACACATATCTCAGTGTGCCCAGGGCTTACTCCTGGCTCTGTCCTCAGGGAAGACTCTTAGTGGTGCCCCAGGGGGGATCATGCATATGCCAAAGATTGAACTGAGATCAGTCACATGAATGGCAAGACCCTTAACTCCTGTACAACCTCTGTAGTCCCTCATTTTCTTTTTTCCTTTTTATAAATCTATACTAAGATAGACTTGGCAACTCCAGTAGCATCTGAAGTAAACAAATTTGGTGTTTTGTTTTTAGAATGAATCACCAGAAGATACACAAAGTGGTTCATGACTGGACTTCAGTCATTTAGCCATACAATGTTCCAGCACCCGTCCTTTCACCAGCGTACATTTCCCACCACAAATATCCCCAGTTTTCCTTCTGCTACATCCCCCCATCCCCAGCCTGCCTCTATGGCAGGACTTTTCTTTTTCTTTTCTTTTCTTTTTTAACTCTCTCTCCCTCTTCTCTTTTGGGCATTATGGTTTGCAACACACTGAAAGGTTAACATTAGCACTCAGTTCTTGTCCAGAGTGATCATTTCAAACTATCACTATCATAGCGGTCCCTTCTTCAAGTTAATAAATTTGTACCATTGCAATTATTTTTAAACCTACTTCCCCACACTTCCAACGGGAGAACAAGTCTTAAACGGTTACAGCCTTTGTGTCTGGCCACAGGCTTATTAACTGTTATTGGGAAAGAAATGACATGTAACATTAGAAACATTTTAGGTGGGCAAAATAATAATTTATTTGTACAGTACTTTAATCACATAAGCCATTAAAGTTCCCTTTTTTTCCTTTAGCCAGTTGGAGTCAAATGTTCTCCTTTTTTAATCAAATAAATAGTTCTAAATAATACAGCAGTAAACAGAGACACAGGTCTGTCTCTCTGGAATGTCTCCAAGAAGAAAGAGATTCCTCCTGCAGGGCCAACGGCCTTTCAGCTGGAAAAGAATGAGTCACGGAGGAGGACAATACGTTTTCTGTTTCTGGAAAAGAGCTCTCTTCCCTCCAGTAGGGAGACACTGAAGAGCCATAAGAGGCTTGTGGATTTAGGCTCTACACCCCAGGAAAGGGCATGGACCCACTGGGCACCTACCGTCCAGTCTGCTCTCTCAGACACAAACTGGGAGGTTGAAGAAGGGTCCAGCTTGAAAGATTTTTCAATTCTTAAAAGCAGAACATTTGTGATGTTTACACATGACCCTAAGTAGCACTGTAGCACTGTCCTCCCGCTGTTCATCGATTTGCTAGAGCGGGCACAGTAACGTCTCACAACAAATTGTGAGACTTGTTGTTACTGTTTTTAGCATATCAAATACGTCACGGGTAGCTTGCCAGACTTCGCGGTGCAGGCGAGATACTCTTGGTACCTTGCTGGGCTCTCCAAAAGGGGCGGAGGAATCAAACCCAGGTCAGCTGTGTGCAAGGCAAATGCCCTACCCACTGGAGACCCTAAGTAATAATGGAATAAATGTCTTGTCACAAAAAAAGGACCAGAAGCCTAAAGAACATGAATTTATTTTGAGGGCCCTGATAAAATCCATAGAGTTGAATCACAACAAATTTAAGAGGTGAACACAACGTGCCTTTCAAAATATCCCAAACCTCTTCAGCTTTAATTTGTTTCTAGCTTTGCCATCTATGCTCCCTAACGGTTTATCCATGCAGAAGTACATGCACCAAAAATTTGTGCTTAGCATGACCTTCTCCCTTTCCCAACCCCCATTCCCAAGATGCATGGAGAGCTACCATACTTCACGGTTCTTGGAAGCAAGACAAATGCTACTGTACATTTTTTTCTGAGGAGAAAACCAACCTCCACCCAAAAGAGAGTGAACATGACACTAAACAAGCAGCAGTTGGCAGGTCTGGGAGCTGTGAACTGTTCCATGAACCGCATTTAGCAAACTAATGATTAGCTTCCACTTACTCGGGCTCTGTAACCATAGGAATATTGTGTAACATTACAGAGAAGAGAGTCAAATTACAGCCTGGCTAAGGGGCTTTTTATAGCACTCATGAGGCAAGGCTCATAACTTGAACTTGTCCATTTTAATTCATTGAATATTTAAACTAATCTGAGTATGGTCCCACAAGGTACCCCACTTGCAGAAGGAGCTGCCAATTTCCACATCTCCCCCCTACTGGGGCTCCTCTCTCATACAAGCTTCCTGGAACCATCTGAATTGGATGCAAAGACATCACTTTTTTTTTTTTAATTTAGCAAATTTTTCCTTACCCTGTCACTTGACTACTACATTTAGTAAAAGTGACCTAAATTAAAGGAGCAGAACAATGTATGTAAAGTCATCAAAGAGGCAAAATGAAATGAGATCACTTCCACATTAATTCTGAAAAGGAGAAGACAGACTGAAAGCAGAGGTTACAAGGGGAAGAGGTCTTGGAAATGTCAGACTGGATCAGTCCCAAATTCTTTTAGTTCACTGCAGTGTTGTTGACAAAAACCCTAAGGACTTGTTAGAGGAAATGATTAGGAACATCATGTAAATACTCCTAAATTTCTTAGCAACACACCATAATGCATGCAAATTAAAATGTTTCCTCTTTAACTAAGAAGCTATTATAGGTACATGGAAAAAATAAACAAGCAAAGCAGAGCTGTACACGGAAAGATTTTCCAGCACCAAAGAAAACTACTAATACTGTATAAGCTGATTTTAACAGTGTAGGCCTAAAAATTTATTTTTAAAAAGGACATATATGAATATATACATCTTTTAAATTTTGGTTATGGGGCAACGCCTGGCAGTTCTGGGCAGGATTTGCCTTCGTGCATAGAGGGGGCTGGGATCTGAACTCAGGAGAGAAACCAAGAGACAGAGAGAGATTTAAAAGCAAAAAAT